TTTAAAACCCACTCATTGAATTCCATTGCAATCTTTGAAATCCATAGGAAAAATCACACCCCTAGACTATGCAAGAAATGGGAAAATATGTGGAGGTGAGGCAATTTTGAGACAATGTTGTGTTGTGATTGTTAGGGACCTGAGTTAGGTGTTGGGAATTGGTGCAACACTATTGCAAAGTTAGGGTGTTGAGGGCTAGAATCATTGTAGACATGGAAATTTCATTGCATACAAATGATGCATCACAAAGCTCCATGTGGCATATGACTCATCACAAATGGACAAGTCATCAATGACATGTGACACAAATCAAGCAAATGAAGTGTAAAACATTCCCAAAATTCAGCAAGAGGGAGAAATCCCCCTTAAAATCAGCAAGGGGCCCAAAATCTCTCAAAACCAGAAAGAAAGCCAAAGCATCTTCGCAAAATAAGCAAGAATTGAAGATTGCTCGCAAATAGGCAACAAGGCCTATAAATTTCGGCCAATATGAGGAAGGTGGCTGAAATTAAGACACAAAACATGCCTAAATTCTTCCATGGATGAATCAAGACACAAATCAAGGCCAAATCCATCCAAGGCATGGCTTTGGAAGTCTATAAATATAAGGACCAAAGACACACAAAGGGGTCAAAAATTATACATTGAGAAGAACCTCTACACAAATCTTTAAAGACTAATACGCTGCCAAAGCTCTCTTCGAAGAATGCACAACCAAAGCTGAAGCTTTATGGGGTTAATTGCATAAACACCCCCTGAGGTTTTTTATGTTTTCACAAAACCCCCTCATGTTCTTAACAGATCACAAACAACCCTTGATGTTTTAAAATCATTTCATCAACCTCCCTCCATGAAAAAAAAGAATCCTAGTAGTCATGACATAAGTTATGAAAATACAAAAATATTCTTACAAAAATCATTTCATCAACCTCCCTTCATTTTTCTTCTTCTCAGGTTCCCCTCCCTCTGTCTCGTGGGTAAGGTTTATTTGGTTGAGCTGAGATGATTTAGTTTATAGTTAAGAGGTTTTCCATTTGAGAGTATCCCTAGAAAATGGATGTTTGACCTCCAAGCTACAAATTGTCGATGGAGACAGATGGGATCCTGCATCTTTTACAGTTATAGCTCAACAATATGCGCATGAAGAACAACCATGGTAAAGTTGTTCCTGGAGCAATGGACACTGCTGATGAAAACACAAAAATACCTGAGGGGAGGTTGATGACATAAGTTATGGAGGGAGGTATGACATAAGTTATGAAAATACAGATTTTTGTAATGATATGGTGTGATTTGTAAGGGTATTTTCGTATTTTCACAAACACCCCTTGGTCATGGAGGGAGGTTGATGAAATGATTTTAAAATGTCAAGAGGTGTTTGTGATATGTTGAGAACCTGAGGGGGGTTTTGTGAAAACACAAAAAACCTCAAGGAGTGTTTGTGTAATTAACCCAAGCTTTATGTCAATCAAAGATGAAGCACTCGTTGAAAAATCAACAAGCACCTGTGCCGATTCCTTCAAGACTTTGTTGCAAGCTCAAAACTTGTAACGACTTTCGTTTCAAGATCAAGTCGCCAAGACCCTTGAATCAACGAAGTCCTACATCAACTCTACCTTTTGCCGCAGTTTTGAGGTGAAAACTATCCAAGCATCGTTTCAAGCTCAAAACTTGGAGCAATTATTCAACCATTCGTCCGAGATCAAGTCATAACGACCTTTGGATCAACAACCTATGCATCTACATCAAATTTAAGACTGAATCAGAGGAAAATTGTAAACAAATATTGTAACCTACAAATTCAAATCAATACAAATCTAGCGAGCTAAACAACAATTATAACTATTAATACCTCTCATTTTTTGATATCATGTTTTTATACTATCATTTAATGGAACAAACTTCATAATTTGAATTATTTACTTTTTGTATCATCTTTTAAGGATTGTTATTAGAAAAATTCATTCGATGAGAAGATCGTTTAATCATACACATGTATCGAACAAATCGACCATTATGATAACAAATTTGTTTGGTTCATATGGATTACTAAATAATGTCAAAATCAAATAATTTTTTGTAAAAGTAATCATTAGATGGTAATTAAAAGAACAAATCGTTCAAATTATAACGTTTGTATGGTGAATGATATGTTACATATAAAGAAAAAATAATTATTTACATGTAAGGAGTCAAACAGTGTACTTCCTAAAATTAATTTAGTTCAGTTGAATTACACGCCTACAAGGCTTAAACACCAAGTGCTACATGTGAAGCTATCAACATCTCACTACTAATTATGTCACATAATGTAACAGTAAACCCATTCTATATAAATTGTTTTCTTTCGATAAATCATCTTACAATATACAATATATACAATACATAGATAAACGTAGAATTGTATTAAAATAAGAAAACGAAAAGAGAGGTGTGTCGTGTGTCGTGTGCCGTGCGAAGTGGACTTTTGTATATTCCTAGCAGTCCCAATTTGTCGTCACTTTGAGATTCCAAGTTCCTCAGTCCTTTTCACTTCTTCACCTTCACGAGGACCAAAACCAAATAACAAGATGCCCGCTGACCACTGCTCTTCTTCTTTACCTCCCTCTGACTTTTGGCACCCTTTTTACGGTTTACGGTGGGGCTGTGCATTAAAAAATAAAAAAAAAATCGAGTGAACCGTTCAAACTGTACCGACGGTTTAGTTTGATTTGATTTTTTTTATTTTTTTTATTTTTGATGGTTAAAACGAATTGCATCGATTTTAATCAGTTTGACAATCGGTTCTCAAAATTCTTAGAGTGCGGTTAATTGAACCCATCTGCATATATTTAATTTTATTTTCTAACTATAATTAATACATGTAGTAATATAAGTGATTAGTTATTTACGAGTTACCGTGTTTCTACTTGAAAACAAAACCTAATTAGTTTAAGAGTCCATTTGGAGAAGAACATGGGGACCTTTTGGAGACCACAACAGCTACTGCTTTGGTGCTCTCCTTAGGCTCCTTCATTTGTGCTTTCCTTTGAGCAATCACTTACATTGGTGCTACGTTTGGTAGCTTTTGGAGAGAAATTTGTTACGTATTTTCGTCTTCACACAAACCAAGAACAGACCCAAACCAACCCACCACTATTGTTTAACCAACTCGATCAGTTTTAGACCTATTTTGGTCGGTTTCGGTTGACAATTTTGACCCAACCAACTAGATCGGTTCGGTTTTGGCCTAAAACCGACCCAAACCAACCCGCGCTCAACCCTAATTAATAGTTTCATTTACCTCTATACCCTCCAAAATATAAAGCAACATGGTCCAATTGGATAGTTCACATTCCCCATTTTTGGTTGGTTACAATTTACTTGAGCTACTATTTACAGAAAAACGATTTACCTACACCTTTCGAGATCAAGTCTCTAAACAATAACACAAACATACTAATCTGCTTTCAAAATTTTCATATGTTGTACAATAGGTACAAGACTTTACGGTAATACTGTAAATGCGTGCATCAATGTATGTAAGTTATTCTCAAATTACCCGAGAAAACGGTAAAATGCATTTGACAGTGAATGGAAATTTTCATTTCAAAACTAGGGTTTCTGTATTGTTGGTGGAAGGTCAAATCTTGTCTTCATGGTGTATAATATAAATTATATGTTTCTTAGGATTCTTTTCATCTAATGATAATTTTTAATAGGAAAAAAACACAAACAGTACAGGCGGGGATGTTGATATTTGTATCATTTTCAACTTTACAATATATTAAAAGGTACTAGCTTTTTTGGCTTTTTTGTTTTAGAATACTGCAATAACTTTCCCTCGACTGCAATGCAGTGATCAATTAAAATATCAGTCCGTTCATGACTAAGTTTGAAGTGGTCATGATTAATCAAATTTTTAGCCTGATTTGGTGGCTGACTTGTATTATAATGCTAATTTCACCAGTGTCGTTGAAACTCCATGAGCTTTGATTGAAACAGATGTTTCGTTAAGGGTCACATGGTGAGGTATGCATGACAAATTAATGAGAAGTTGTTAAGAGTAGGACTGAATTAACCACACAATATAAATAATGATATTTACGTGTTCGTGAGAGAGCGTGAGATTAGAGAAGTGGGTTCTGGTCAACTGGAATTTTTGCTTGGTCGTAGAGATATGAGTTGTGCAAACCCGAATAATTGTGAGCCATGAATCTATGTCTGGTATGATTTTTCTGCACTAGTATAGAAATACAAGATGTTAAAAAGAGAGCTGTTAAACTCACTAGATATTGAGTTATCACAGCATATGTAATTATTTGTAGTGCAAAGAAGTGGTTGCATATATTTGTGTAAAAAATAATAATTCCTACCCTATATATTTGACCAGAATATGCATGGCCAATTTCCTACAAGATAGGCTTGCTGACCATAATAACGTTAACAATGGCCCATACAAATGATATTATCTTCAGTAATAAACTAATTAATTGGATATTTATTTGATCTATAAATATTTTAAAGGGTATGATTTTTACAGATCTCTTTTAATTTTTACCACACTTCAATATAACTGTTAATTCTGTTTGATTTATTCAATCCGATGTACATAAATAAAAGAAAAGTGTGAAAATCATTTCATTTCTTTATGATTATTTCTTAAGAAAACTAATGAAAAATGTTTAAAAGCTTTGAATTTTAATGAAAATGACAAAATAAAAGGTAATGTAAATAGTACCAGGATTGATTTTTTAATATAAAAATATAATTTTTCGTTAAAATAAAGAATACCTATAACTTTTCGTTAAAATCCTCTTATTTCTTTTTGAATTTTTTTATAATATTAAATCCTCGGAGCGAGTAAATTTCCTTTTTTTTTTTTTATTGAACATGTCAGTTGGACTGTTCATTCAGTTTTGGATTAAAAGAAAAACAAAATATTAGTTTAATGGAATGTTAAATGAATGAATGCACTGTTTGTACCACTACCTTTTGCAATCCTCCAAAAGTTATGATATTGCATTTTTTGCTGATAGCCCCCTCGACCCATCAAACAAACCCAGCAAATCCTCAACTCCTCTTTCTTCTGACTCTCATAGACTCACTCTCTCCCCGCTTCACTGATAGGTCTCTCGCTCTCTCTCTCTCTCTCTCTCTCTCCCCCCTCCTCCTCCTCCTCCAATGGCTGCTTCCTGCAGATATCCATTGCTTCTCTCTCTAACAATCTCCATGTTTTTCCATCTTACTTCAGCATTGTTATCTGAACCAGACATTCTTCTCACATTCAAGGCCTCCATTAAAGACCCCCAAAATTCTCTCTCAAGCTGGTCCAACACCTCCGCCACCCACCACTGCCAATGGGCTGGAATCACCTGCACCGCCGCCACCACCACCACACTTTCTGTCACCTCCCTCAACCTCCAAAGCTTCAACCTTTCAGGTGACATTTCACCTTCAATCTGTGGGCTCCCTTATCTGTCAGAGCTCAACCTTGCTGACAACTTCTTCAACCAGGCCATCCCTCTCCACCTCTCTCAGTGCACTTCTCTGGAGACTTTGAATCTCAGCAACAATTTAATCTGGGGTACACTTTTAAACCAGATTTCTCAGTTTGGTAACTTGAAAGTTCTTGACTTGAGCATAAACCATGTTGAAGGAAGCATCCCACAAGGCCTTGGTGCACTCCACAACCTCCAAGTTCTCAACTTGGGCAGCAACTTGCTTTCGGGTAGGGTATTTCGTTTGGGTCACGAAACATTTTCGAATTTATGATTAAGTCAATCAACATTATGTGCTTTTGATATTGATCTTAGTTGGAAAGCAACTTGCCTTCATATGAGTATTTCGCTTGAGGTAAAAAATATTTTCGATATTAGAATTAAGTCAACCAATATTTTTTGCTTTCGATATTGACCTTAATTGAAGAGAAAAATTTTCTATTGACAATGTTAGCAAATAAAGTGTTCATTGACACGACGGAATATCAAGTTATTTACTGATCTAAATCAAATTTGCTATTTTCAGGTAGTGTGCCTTCTATTTTTGGGAATTTGACTGAGCTAGTTGTTCTTGATCTGTCTCAAAATACATACTTGGTGAGTGAGATTCCCACTGACATTGGGAAGCTTGTGAAGCTTGAGAAGTTGTTCTTGCAAAGCTCTGGTTTTCATGGTGTAATTCCTAATTCCTTGGTGGGTTTACAAAGTTTGAGTGTTTTGGACTTTTCCCAAAATAACTTAACAGGTAGGGTTCCTCAGATGCTAGGGTTTTCTCTCAAGAACTTGGTGTCTTTTGATGTTTCAGAGAATAGGCTTTCTGGGTTTTTCCCAAATGGCATCTGTAGTGGAAAGTACCTTATAAACCTCAGCCTTCACACAAACGTGTTCAATGGTACAATACCTGACTCCATTAGTGAATGCTTAAGGCTTGAGGTGTTTGAAGTTCAGAACAATTTGTTTTCTGGGGATTTCCCAGTTGGGTTATGGTCATTGCCCAAAATTAAGCTCTTGAGAGCTGAGAATAATCGGTTTTCGGGTGAAATACCTGATTCGGTATCAATGGCTGCTCAATTGGAGCAGGTTCAAATAGATAACAACCGCTTCACTAGCAAAATTCCTCATGGTCTTGGGCTAGTCAAGAGCCTGTATAGATTCTCTGCTTCTCTTAATGGTTTATATGGTGAACTCCCTGCAAATTTCTGTGACTCCCCTGTTATGAGTATAATGAATCTCTCCCACAATTCACTTTCGGGTCAAATTCCGGAGGTTAAAAAATGCAGGAAGCTAGTGTCATTGTCTTTGGCAGACAACAGTCTTCGTGGGAATATCCCACAATCCCTTGGGGAATTACCAGTGCTAACTTACCTTGATCTTTCGGATAATAAGCTTACTGGTCCCCTGCCACAGGCGCTTCAGAACTTGAAGCTTGCACTCTTTAATGTTTCCTTTAATCAGCTATCTGGTAGAGTTCCCTACTCTCTTATTGCAGGACTCCCAGCTTCATTTCTTCAAGGAAATCCTGATCTTTGCGGTCCAGGATTACTCGATTCTTGTTCTGATGACCAGCCAAGACACCATTCTTTTGATTTTACAACCTTGATATGTGCCTTGGTATCTATAGCTTTTGCTGTTGGAACTCTCATTATTGCTGGTGGGTTAATCTTTTATAATCGATATTATAAACACAGAGCTCAAGTTGGCCTTTGGCGTTCGGTGTTCTTTTATCCTCTCAGAGTCACTGAGCATGACTTGATGATGGGAATGGATGAGAAAACTGCTGCAGGATGTGGTGGAGTATTTGGTAGAGTTTACATTGTAAGTTTACCGAGTAATGAACTTGTTGCTGTGAAGAAGCTTGTGAATTTTGGGATCCAGTCTTCGAAAGCTTTGAAGGCTGAGATCAAGACCTTGGCCAAGATCAGGCATAAGCACATTGTAAAAGTTCTGGGATTTTGCTATTCTGATGATTCGATATTTCTGATATATGAATTCCAACAGAATGGGAGCTTGGGGGATTTGATCTGCAGACCTGATTTTAACTTGCAGTGGAGTGTTAGATTGAGAATTGCCATTGGCATTGCGCAAGGACTGGCATACCTTCACAAGGATTATGTTCCTCATTTGCTTCATAGAAATCTCAAGTCAAACAATATCCTTTTGGACGCAGAGTTTGAACCAAAGCTCACAGATTCTGCTCTTGACAGAATTGTGGGAGAAGCTGCCTTTCAGTTAACCATGGCTTCGGAATCTGCTCTATCCTGTTACAATGCGCCAGGTAAGAGAAGTGCGAATTTAAATGATTTATGCATGTAGTTTGTTGCTGCAAATTTATGCTCGTACTATTGTTTTCTCTGGAACTATTGCTAGCTGCTCATCATCTGTATCTTATGTTGCATGCAATCTCTCTTAGATTATTTATCGTATCTGTCGTCTTCGAATATTTTCTTGGTCATTGAAATATGTTGATAGTAATCAAAATATGATGAAAACACTCATGACATGCTGACATGCTGCCAAATATTTGTATACTAAAAAATTTGGTCACTCTCTTATGACATTTATTTGTTGATTGCAGAATGCAAGTACAGTAAGAAAGCAACTGAAAAAATGGATGTTTACAGCATTGGTGTTGTTCTACTGGAGCTAGTGACAGGCCGGCCAGCAGAGCAAGCAGAGCCATCTAAATCTCTTGACATTGTAAAGTGGGTGCGACGAAAGGTCAACATTACAAATGGGGCTGTCCAAGTTCTTGATCCCAAGATCGGAAATTCTTCCCAGCAAGAGATACTAGGAGCTTTAGAAATCGCTCTCCGCTGCACTTCTGTGATGCCGGAGAAAAGACCATCAATGTCTGAAGTTGTGAGATCACTTCAGTCCCTTGACTCGAAGACCCACGAGGCAGTTATCGACTTCTCTACCTTTGAGGAGCTTTGATCTTCATTCTAAACATTGGAGTTACAAATGACTGCAATTTTTGGTTGCTTTGTATGTAAATTAAACTTCACGGATTCGGTTGTGATGGGGGAAAGAAAGATAAGGTTGGTTGGGCATGGTTTTTTGTGTCTGTTGTTCAACAGATCATTTGGAATTTGGCATTTGGTTAAACTGTAATGAGATTTTTACAGTATAATATGAATGCCGTTATATATGTTGTTGATGCAAATTTCTGCCGTCTTCGGTCTTAACAAAAATGCACCTGTACGCCCGCGGTTTTGGAACTTTGATCAAAGACTAAAAGCCTCATGTGCCCGCGGTTTTGGCCAGTGGATTTCCGATGCCTAAGTTAGTCTCTCTGAAAAGGAGTGTTTACGATTTTCTTTGTATAGAAAAGGCGTACCATTCTTGGTGGAGAAATAGGGAATTTATAGGGAGAGTGGCCGGCCATTAGGGTAGGATTTGGTGAGAATATTCCCAAGATATTGTGTAAATAATATCTTGGAATTAAAGGTAATTGTCTTGATTAAATATGAGTTGAATTACTTACTTGATAGGGTTTGTCTTCAATTGAGAGTGTTTTAATGATAGGATTTAGAGATAATCCTACCATTAAATACCTTTGATTTTTTCCACGGGTAGTGAAACTTTGAGCAGTCGTATTCTGTTGCTTGCATGTACAAGGAAGATGAGTTGTGCGTAGGATGCTCGACTCATTTAATAAGGGTAGTTTTTTCTTTTTTGGCTGAAAGTCCACGTGTTGCCTTCATGAATTTCAGGATTATTTTTGGCTCATGTGTTTTGGTTGATAGAGGCTTGAGGTGTTGTAGACGGTAACCAAATCCAACCCTTGGACAAATTAAAGATGGATTCTTAAATGGATCATCTTATAGACACTCATGGATTGTAGGAGTAGTTCGGTATGAGATCCAAAAGTGGGATCCCAATTCCAAACAAAAAAATTTCAGGATGGGAATGAGAAGACTAATTTCAAACCCAAATTTTGGTATTCCCAAAAAGTTTAGGCTTTTTACCTTATACCAATTTGAAATTTCATACTAATTAAGATGCCAATTCATTAACACCAAGTCAAATTGAAATTCCAAAGTTTCAAACAGCTTAATTTCATACTTTTACTTCTAATATAGTCTACTATCAAAATATTTAAATTCAACATGCATCCAACCAAAATAAATATATATATATATATATATATATATATTTTCGGTTCAGTTCAGGATTCCCGAACTATTGAATATGTAATCCCGATTTTCGTACCGAAAAGTTTGGGATCAGTTCGGTATGGATCCCGAAAATTTCGGTATTATAAGTTTGAGAATTTTCGGTATGGGATTGAGATTTTTTTTTGGTTTGGTTTGGGATTGTTGGGAAAGATTTGCAGCCCTAATGAATTATCAATTAGATTTCATTCAACCAAACTTTCAATAATCAAGGAAAGTATTATCCACACGGTCATTTTCTTCTCTTGAAACTCGCGTTTGTTTTTGACATTTAGATTGAATAAATCAAAGGATAATGAAGAGAAAAAATTGAGCAGAGTTTTTGCAAAAGAAGAAAGGAGTGAAAATTATATTTCCCATAGTTACAAAATCGTCTCCTTATGTTCGATGTGAATGATTCCTATATCCGGAATTTTTTAGATCTCAAATGGATTGGGTTAGGCTTGAACTGATTTGGACATATAAGAAGAAATGGGCTTGAAGAAGAATTGGGATGGAAGTCTATTACAAGTTCGTGTAGGCTTGAATAGAACGAAAGAGTTAGCGTGTTAAATAGTTAGTTGTTAGGGGAAGGAGAATTTAGGGGATCGAAGAATAGGCATGATTAATTTTCGCGACTGCAGTAAAGAGACATATGCAACTGATAAGCTTATATTTATATATATTTTAGATCAAATTCACTTGTCTTTTCTTAGTTAGTTCCTTATATTTTTGAGTTATTTACTTTGTTTTTGTGTTTTGTAGGATTTGTCAAGCAAAGAAAAGAAAAATAGCACAAGTGGGATTTTAAGTAACAAATTCGTCAAAACTGCCTGTGCAGGTTAGCTGACTTTGGAAGCAAGTTGCGGACATCTCAGAATGAATTAGAGAATGAGCCTTATATGCTTGAAAAGCTACGGATGTCTATTTTCTGGACCATCTCGCGGATTGTTAATATCATTTTTCTAGAATAAATTATGGATGTTTTAACACTGAAAGGTTCCTAAGAGGCTGAACAGTTTGTAACTGACAAGAAAGCATTGAAAGCAATAAATCCAATAAATCTAGCAGCCAAAACTGATGCAATCAAGAACAAACCAGCTGACAGGAAATGGAATTAAAGATGAGGATTAATAGGGAGTAATTGGCATAAAGGCTACCCAAGGAGTTACAATTGTTTTACCATTTCCTCTCACTTATTGTCATCACTAAATGGCTATTAGTGGGTGAGTTAAGGAGAAGAAAATGATGCAGCAATAATTGGTTTAAAAGTAGCGTTGGGGAAGGAAGGAAAGAGGAGAGCCTTAGTCGATTTCTTTCGGTTCTATTTTCTCAAACTCATGTCTATCTTTTGTTTTAACTTAAGGATTGTGTAACTAAATTTTTAGTAGTTAGGGGCTGTTTGAAGCCTCGAATATGATTGCAAGTTTGTTATGACATTTCATTTGAATTACTTTTATGAACAGATAAAAATTGATTCACTACTTGTCTCATTGATAAATTCTTTATGTGTTTTCTACGGATGCATACTTAGTAAGCATGTCTAGGATTCTAATACTATGAATATGTGTGTGCCTGCCCTTGTCGAATGAGGACCTACATATGTTCTAGAGTAGTACTTGTTAATTGCAATTAACATGTGAACCAATTTCTAGGATAAGTAAGACAATGCCAGTACTTACGATGCCTTGTGATGATTCAAACTCTTTTCTTTCTTAATGATTTCTAGTTGTTAAATCTATGAACACGCCATTCTTAATTGCATGTTAGGGACTAAGTTAAGTTGAAAACGCCATTCTCTTAACATACCACATAAGAAAGAGTAATAGGTTGAGTTCTAACATTGAGCCAACTTGAGCATCTTCATCCAGAAATAAAAGGAATTTGAATGAAACATAACATGTTTGTATGATTATTTGGTGGTGGATAGCAATTCCCCTAACTCGTTTTTCTTAATTTGTGAACTACTTAAAATCTGTTTTTGTCCTGTTTTTGTTCGATTTAATTTAAATAGCAAATCAACTCAAAAAATCCCAAAAATTTGTGTGAGTGTAGCTCTGTGTGTCTAGTGTCTGCATATAAAATTTCGTAGAATTTAGATAAGTATAAGTTGGTCTATTAATTTGTTTTTGGTGGCTGGCCAGTAGGGACATCAGCCCAGTTTTTGTGACATTTTAAGTAGTTAGATAAAACAATCTTCCGTGGGAAAGACCCTTATTTTCATATGCTACAATTGACAAATATTAGTGTTAATAAGGAAAATCAATAAGACATTTGTGTGCTACTTTGTGGTGTGCTTTTAATCCTATCAAATTTTTGGCGCCGTGTCACCGGGGATTGTTATGTTTAATTACTCATTTTTCTATTGTTTTCTTTTCTTGTCTCATTAGTGTTTTTGTTTTTGTTTTTATTTCAGGTACTCTTTGTAGTATATGCATACTCAAAGGTCCAAGAGCATTGACCTAGCTTCCTACGAAGACCGGAAACGTGTTAAAAATTAATGGGCATATACTCAACCCATATTACGAGTCTTTTGTGGAACATGATGTGGAGGAACATTTGGTTATGTCCACCCTTGGAGTTGATTGCAGAATTGAAGTTTGGGGGTCATCGTTTGCCTTTACTACAAATTGGGGAAGTTTTTAGTCCAAATGCTTTATTTTGTTTCTTACTATTTTATTTTATTTTTATTTTATGCATTATTGTGTTTTCTGACATTGGGGACAATGTCCAGTTTAAGTTTGGGGGTAAGGATTAAAAAAATGACCAAATTGAAAATTTTCGTCCCCTTGACTAAGAACTAGTTTAATTTGTTTCCTTGTTGTTTTCTTAATTAGTTTTGTTTACCCTAAAACAAGAAAAAAAAAACCCCAAAAAAGAGAAAATCCGGAAGATTTGAAAATCCAAAAATATTGTCTTGTTTTATTTATTGTTTTGAATTAGATTTTTGTTAGTTTCCTGACCCAATGATATAATTGGATTGAATTTGAACCACGGTGATCAAGAACTTAGTAAGCATGTGTTGTGTGAAATTCCTTATTCTCTTGTTAGCCTTGTACATGTTTAATCATCTTTGAAAAACCAAATGCACATAGCCTTGTTGATGTGAAACTATAGCATGAAATAAAGTTTCGTATGTGAATATAGTGACCATATACAACCTATGTGAGTTTTTGAGCCTATTGAATGTGTGTGCATTTTTCATACACTCATATTCTTTCATGTGTGATGAACTTATGTGACTTACATCTCTAGAACTTGCGTAATGATCTTTCGAAATGTTTGTCATTGATTGCATGAACTTGAAAATGATAGAGGCATTAGGTTTATCACCATGGCCCAAATAAGCATGTTTCCTAAAGAAAAATGATATCATTAGATTGCCAATTTGAGCCGTATATGTTGAACCTTTTATTTCTTATCACCAGATATGTCTACCCTTATACCTTAAACATTTTTCCTTACCCTTTCCAAGCTAGTTAGTGAGCAATGTGAGATTGTCTTATGAGAAATGTTTGTGAATTACTTTGAAGGAGTTTGGCAAAAGAATAAGTGTGGGGGTATTTCATGTTCGTATTTAGTTATGTGCAAAATTGGTTTCATAAAAAAAAAAAAAAAAAAAAGAAGAAGAAGAAGAAGAAAGAAAAAAAAAAGAAGAAAAAGAAAAATTGTATACAAAGAAAGGTCTTTAAGTTTCAGTTTAGGGATGTGGTTGAAGGTATTAGTAGAGTGGTTGGAGAGGTTGAGCTCTTATAAATCTCAACAAGAGAATTGCTTGCAATGTAGCTTGGAACTTGTGTTTACCTATCCTTTCATTTCTATAATCCTCTCCCTAAGCCTCATTACAACCAACAAAAGTCCTCTTGATTTAAGTTTTGCAATTATGATTGTGGAGATGTGATCTTCATGCAAGCTTATGGTAGATCTTTCACATTTGATTATTTGAGCGAAACATGTTAAACTAAACATATATGTGATTGAGTGTATGTCTCGTGAGATGTTGTGAAAA